TACCAGTGAAAAACGCTATAAGACTAGAGCCACGTTCAGAATCGCTAGATTTCGTTTTATCCTTGTTGTTCACTAAATGTTAAACAAGGATAAAACAAAATCTGGTGCACCCGGATGATGATTCTGAACGCAACCTATTAAAAAAATTATTTAAATCCTACAATATACATATATGTATATATATAATATACATATAGAGTGATTCATTTTAATCTTAATAAATAGTTTGGAAAATATGGAAGATTCGAAAAAAATTATGTTTCGGACAAAAATGAATTTCAAGAGGGACATATTTTGGTCATGTTATTTTTTTTACAGATGAAAGCATTAAAAAGGTACAAAAATCACTCTTTTTTTTAAATGGAATTATTTTTTTTACTTAATATTAGAGCTGCATCGGATCGTCAAATTATCGGATACCTGATACAGATATCCGACATTAAATTCTTTTCGGATATCCGATATTTGGTCGGACATTCAGTAAGCCAATTATTCGACTGGATACCGAATATTTCTCCAGATATCCTGCCGGATATCTGGAAGAAAGCTTCCGAAAGAAAAGAAAAATAGTGATAATAATTTTCTTTATCTTCCCAACGTGAACAGAAAAAGAGGAAAGATGAACTGTACAAGAAATTCAGCTGAAAAGAATAAAATTCTGCATTAACGACGAAAACTATCAATATAAAATTCCACAGGATATATTACCTGATATTAATAATATTCGGCTATCCGGCTGGATAATAAAAAGGTGTCGGATAATGCCGAGTACGGGATATTTTTCGGATATCCGGTGTATGATTCCACTAATTATTCTATATTTAAAAGTATTAAGGTAGGGATATAAAAAAATCAATAGTTTACGAGGTATTTTATACTTTATTTTAGCATATTTTGACATATTTTGATAAAATACTAAATATCTCGTAAACTTTTGATTTTTTGATATCTCTATCTTAATACTTTTTTATGCAGAATAATTAGAACAATCATATTATATGAAGATCATATAATTCCATTTAAAAAAAGTGGATTACTTAAAATCAGTCATTTAATGAATTACCTTCTTATCGTTTAGCCTCAACTTAGAAAAATAAATAACGTGATTAAAATATATCCCCCTCGAAATCATTCCATTTTCGTCTGAAATGTTTTTCGTATCTTTCATATTTTTCGAAATACTGTCTATTAAGATTAAAATGAATTATCTTGTATAACATACATACGCACACACACAACATATATACACACACATATATATATATATATATTAGTTGTGTGTGTGTATATGTATATAGAAAAAGTAATACACACATTTTTTCATAATATACATATGAAATGACGTGTAAATTGCTATACGTTTTCTATGATATCGAGTGACAAATATAACTAATGAGAAAACATCTTGATTCGTGTGCGACATTTAGAATAGAAAGCAAAGAAGACTAGCTTAGATATCTTATTTCAAGTATTTTCTACGAGACGAAAAATCACAAATTCTGATAAGAATCCGTAATAAGCAATCTGTATTCTAAGGCAAATTTCGTATATTTATTATTGCAAGTTGTAGACAGATTTTTATTCATATTTTTCGCATGCGGTTTCCTAGCAAATAAGCTAACGTTATTTATCGTCATTTTGACGCCATTTTGACGATACAGATGTCATTTTGACGATACAGATGTCATTTTGATGTCAAAATAACAATAAATAACATTATCTTGATTGTTGGATTCTTTCTTACTGTTTCTTTCTTCCCGCAAAAGAATTTGCTAGGCTGATTTTTAAATCTAGAAGGCTGTGTAATTCATACGTGTCAATAAAATTGCGAGATAAAGAATGATAATGTTACATGTGCAATAATGTATAATTCCTTATAATCAGCATATAATGAAAAATATAAAGAAATGTTGACTACTATTTAAATTCAGAAGAAATTGAATTCTTAAATTTGCAAAAATATACTAGAAATATTTTACTACAAAGAATCGCATAAATCAGCCTCGCATTCTTTTAATATCTTTTATAATTTATATACATTTGTTAAATATGTAATAATAGTCAGCAATTTATAAATGCGCATTAATCCATATAATTTATTATATGCATTTTTTACTTCATAATATATCTTAATCTTTACGTAAACATGTTTATCTTTCTTTATAATAATTAACGCGATAGTTCTAATGTTGATAGTATTCTTCTAAAATGCTAGTCAAACCGATACAAATCGGAAAAATTTATTAAAAATTACATTTAAGTAATCCAACGTTTTATTTGTTAAATAAATCTGTACCACTAATTGATTATGATTATACCACTTTTATCATTGATAATTATTATTATCACTATAATATGTAAGTATATGCTCAATAAATACTTTTTTAATACTCAAATGGATATATTTATTTTAGAATTTTAAACTATTGGTAATCCGATCCCTATAGGATTCTTTATTACATTAGATTTAATAAAGTTACGGAAGAAAGCATGAGAGAACGCAACTGACACCTATCTCGAGAATTAATGCCCTGAGACGTATGCTACGTGTTGTTATCATTTCATGTTTTAATCATGTTTCTTTGTTTGCAGACCGTTAAACAAGGATAAAATGAAACACCATGGGCATTACGCGTGCAACGCAATACAGCCACTCTATTGCATTATAGTGTATATTTTGTATGTTTAATTAAATACATTTTTCGATCTGAATTTTTTATATAATTTGAAAATTTCTAATAATCTATAATCCAAATTATCTCGCTCTATTCTATACGGAGATCAATTATGCCTCTATATATACGTATGCGCTTATTATGTATGTACGTGTATAAAGTATAAAACGAAGCTGGCAATCTCGTAAACGTAAGCGATTTACGTCATCGATTATATAATAACAGTTTGTAATGGTGGAAGTTATTTCGTATATGCAGCATCGCATAAAATTGTTTCGAAATAAGAAAGATTGGAACAAAATGTTGGAAAGGGTGATATTTTAAACATCATGGCAAATAGTTAGCTATAGAAGTGATTATCGTATATTAAACGTCTTTTCAAAAAGTCTGAAAATAAGTATAAAAGAATAAAGGTAATTTTCTCATCATAAATTATACAATTTTCAATTTTCTTATTTAAAAATTAAGATTTTCAAATTTTCTATTTAAAGTTTATCAAAATCAAGTCAACGAAAAGAGAATAAGATCTTAGAAAATATCTACAAACATTGTGAAATTGAAAGATTTTATTAAATACTTCATTTCTATTTTTTTTACATTCTATAATTCTATAAAAATAAAATAAAGATAAAACGATATGTAAACAAAAAATTTATCCTAGAAATTAAAAAATACGTATTACGGTCGAAGCTGGATCTTCGTTGCTTAAATAATTCAATCTTGAATTACTAATATATACTATGTATGTACTTGCATATATACCATATTGTAGTCTTTTTCAAACTGCTTTTTCAAACTCAAAAAAATTTATCAAAACCAATATTTCTGAAATATTCCTACAATAAATGTCAATAATAAAAAATGTAATTATTTTCAATTATTTTATCCAGTATGACATATTACTATTGTATTGAAATTTTATAAAACATAATAGATTTACTCTGGAAAAAAATAAAAAAATCAGTCATTTAATGAACACGCACACGTTATTCGTATAACTCTAGTTAGATTTTATTATGTAGCAACCAATTCCGGAACTGATCACAATGCCAGAAAAGTTTCACTTTCGCAGAAACTATTTACCGTGAAATATATCCGGCAATACGCCAGATCAAGTTAAAGATTAAGTTTGTATAGTTATTGTACGCGCGCGCGCGCGCGCGAGGCATGCGTGATATATCGAAACAGTATATTATCGACCTTGAACAGTAACTATAATTATCGTTATTATTTTTATCACTTGTTGTCATCCTAATTTGCTATCATTATTTTTATCGTATATTATTTCATAATAATCCACTATTCTACTTTATTCGTTATCTATAGCCGCGGCCGATTCATGCCTTACAACGCTTATCATGAGCATCAGTCTTTGTTTAACATTTGACAAAGACGGAATAATTTTTAAGCGTTGTGAGCGTGAGTCGGCTTATCAGTGAACGTGCAATACAACTCTATATTTCAAAATTATATTGTTTAATAAAAGTATTTCTTACACAAAATATTACTTATATTAATCACATTAATACTTCAAAATGTAACTTTTGCAGATATAATAATAGTAATATAAGTATCATTTTATGTATATAATATATTCTCAAGTCTTAGGGCCTGAGCACAATAGAGGAACAGGAATTAGATATTAAGATTTCAACCTATCAGAAACTGATTACATCGGAATACGCGGTTTCTGATAGGTTGAAATCTTAATATCTAATTCTTGTTCCTCTATTGTGCGCAGGCCGTTAGATTGCAGAGTTGCAATTATAACCACAATTGTAATTATATTCTTTATAAAAAAATAATTATTAAATAACAATGTATTAAACAACAGTGTATTAAACAACAATATATTAAAGTTAAAGATAATGTAAAATTTTATTTTCTTTATATATTTATATTTATTTGTATGCATGCTGATTAAAACTTGTATTCTATCTTGTGTTTTTATGTGTTTACTTATAATACATTATTAATTATTTCGATTGAATAGCAGTTTTATATAAAACTGTGTTTTTGTGACAGTCTTTGTGATGCTGTGTTTTTTCTGAATGTAACCTATGCGACACACTGATGTATATACCTAATTTCCACTTATACGTACATGTACTATGAAGCAAACATGTTGTAATTGCGCAGTATTACAATGCATCGAAACTTATGCAAATCTGATATGTCGGCCAATTATACTAATCGCGCTTCAGCAAATTTCCGAGCATGTATATCTCTATACAAAGCATTCTCTCTTGCATATCGATGATGTAAGATCATCACACAACACCACAGACAATATAAATATGAACTATAGAAATGTAATGTATTCAGTTGTTGGATTAACTTTGTGCAAGTTGTTCATTTCTATCACTAAAACGTAGAAAAATGAAGAGATCACTTACGTTTTTCATTTTAGCGCTAATTGCTACCGTAAGTTAATTTTATTTTCATACATGTATAATATATATATATATATATCTGGTTCTTTTTTAACTTATTTTAACAAAAATTTAAATAGAACATTTTATACAAATAGATTATTTGCAGAATTTACAATAAACAATAAAGTTGTATTATTTACTTCTTAATTTCAAATATCGTACATTTTATAAGCAAGCTTTAAATTGGGATTGTATTGTACAGCTTATTGGCTCGAGATTTTTAAAAGGAACTAATTTTTTAATGCAATTTTATTCATACGATCATTCGATATGTAAATAAGTTAAAAGAAATGCTATTAAATTTAGCGGTGCATTTAGGAGATATTAACGAAGTGTCATTTAAAAAAATATATTTTAGTATTATTTTTAATATATATCTCGAAAACAACGCAAAATACGAAAAAATATCAACAGAACTTTTTTGTAGGAAATCAAATTTTCTATCGACTAGATATATGGAAAAATTTTTTCGATATCATAAACTGTAAATGTAGAAAAAAACGAAGTTTATAAATCATTAAAGTATTTTAAATACAAAATAAAAGCAATAATATATTGAGTAAAAATCGACCGATAAGATTAAACACACGTAAATGGAAAAGGCCATTCTATCTAATTTTCGTATCTAATATATTTCTTTTTGTGAATTTATACAATTTCAAGTTAATGTTAACTGCGCACTGTGATTATATATTTATTGGTTTTAAAACAACCCTTAAACCGAAGCCGGAATAGTAATATTACAAGTAATTTTTATAATTTAAACGTTCATTTTAGAAAATTCAAATCTGTAAATAATTTAATTGCAATTAAATTTCTTAAATTAATTAAAATACGTATACAAAATATAAATACTATCAATTTTAATATTTGAAATATAATAGAATATAGAATACTTTTGTGTACTCCGCTGAAATATAAAATACAAAATATAAAATTATATTTATATTTCAAATACGGTACTTCAAATACAACGACAGAATTAAAATGTATTATGCACTAATTCTTTTATAAAGTGGTATAAATAATTTATATCTTCTATGTCATATAATTACTTTGAGTATAATTGTGATCATGATAATTTATAAGATTGTCATATTAATGAAGTGCGTGGTAATATGGTTGTATTTTAGGTAATTGCAGATGATAATGATAAAATCCTGGAAGGAATGGCAAAAGAATTCGAAATCGAAGTATCGAAATTACGGGAATGTCTGGACGAAGAAGGACTCTTAGGTAAATTATCTAGAAATAATGAATTTATAAATAAATATAGTCCTTTTAATATCTTCTCATTACTATTATTATTATTATTATTATTAGGACTTTAGAATATTATACATTAAAAATTCCTTATTTTAAATGTATAGTTTGAAATTTAAAACTTAAGAATAAAAAATAATTTCAAAAATACTATGCAATTTCTAAATCTTTGCGAAAGAAATTTAGAAGAAAGCATTAAGTAATGCACAATAAAATTGTGTATGTATATATTTTAATAAAATTTTTTTTATATTTAAAGTGTATTCTTGGATTATATGTAATTTAAAAAAACTTTTACAATTTCTTAGATTTAAATACTACGATGCAAAAGTTTGATTGGAATGGCACGAAGGAGGGGAATGAAGACGCCAAAGCAGAATTAAAACCATTTTGTGGTTTTATGGCTTGTACAATGGAAAAGCAAAGTTTGGTAATAATTTGTAATAATTATTATACTAATAAATTATTAGACATAAAGAATTCTGATAAAAAATATAGTGCGAAATTGAAGCAATTATAAAATAACTATTTTTCCAATCATGTTTTGTTAAGATACGTAATAAATACGTGAAAAATAGTCTATTTTCGTAACACAATTTCTTATAAAAGTTATATGAAATTTTAGTACTTAAATTTTATATTATGCTTAAGTTTTTTGTTTTCTACCATTTTGTAATATTCGCAATAATTAGCAAGATGTTAATTACCAAAATTCGCTGAATATTGGTTTTCAATAATTCTTTACTCAAATTCTAGCAACTTTACAGAAAGAAAAGCAAGAGACAAAAATTGTTTATTTTCTTCTCATAAAGTTCTGAGAATTTTTTCAGAATTTGTTAGTAGCGCATTTTCTCATGTTGGTAAAAAAGTTGCCAATATACAGTAAGAAAATGCAATAAAACTGCAGAAAAGGGGAGCAACCGCCGACGACCTCGACCTTGACATATGTTGTCAAGGTCACAACTCTGAGCAACCTTCAATAAGTTTTAGTCATCTCTCGTTATTCGTTAAAAAGTTATTAACAAAAAAGTTTGAAAAAATAACGTTTTATTTCTGCTTAGGAGCGCACGACTTCCACGCGAAGCGACTTCTGTTTCAACTCTCCATTGCTTGGGAGTGCACGATTTCCACGCGAAACGACTTCCATCGATTCTACCTCCACGTTTCGCGTGGATGTTGTACTCTCTCCAAGCAGGGCTAACCAAACCATGTATCGTAAACTATACATGTATGCAGAGTAAAGTAGGAAAAATTTTCTGTTCTAAGAACAAAAATTATATAAGAAAATATGAAAATCGTGTGCGCCCCCAAGCAGGAGGGGGGAGGTGAGATGGGACTCGCTTCTTGTGGAAAGTTGTAAAATATACTTTAAAGCAGATAATTTCTGTTTTATATGGTGAAAAAGGGATATCGTATACGTTATTTCTCAAACTTTTTTGTTAATAACTTTTTAACGATGGACAAGCGACGGCTAAAACTTGAAGGTTACTCAGGGTGATGATCTTGACAACATATGTCAAGGTCAAGGTCGTTGGCGGGTGCTCCCTTTTTCTGCAGTTTTACCGAAAATGCAGTACCTTCTACAAACTTATATATATTTTGATAGTACTTGAGTAAAAAATTATTGAAAACCAATATTCGATGATTTTTAATAATATCTTGTACACTATTGCGAAAATTGAATAATAATAGAGGACCTTTCGACTCAGTTTAGTCCGGTCTACGATATATTTGATGGTCATTCTGAGACATCCCGTATATTGCTCTACATAATCTTAATGAAAATTAATTAGAATGATAGCAAATAATTAATTTTTTAGATACACAACCCGTAATTTCAGGTGACTATATGTTTTTTTCTTTTATTTCAGATGGAAGGTGGAAAGTTAGCTACAGACAAGATGATTGAAAATATAAAAGAACGCGGTAACAAGCGTAGCGAGCCACAGCCTCCAGAGGAAATGTTAACGAATTGGAAGAAATGTATGAATTCATGTAAGTAAACTCAAAATAGCACGCAAAATGTTTCCTTTCTACCTATTTCACACAATTTTGTTATAATTAACAACAATAGAACAAGGTTAATAAGAGTGCGATGCAGTAAACAGAGTGTAATTAATATAATCTTCAAGTTGTAAAATTAATTGCGCTCTATTTACTGGGTTGCACTTTCATTAGTCTTATTCTGCTGTTGATAATTTTGATAGTTGTAGGACCTTTTCTTCCTTTGTGTGAATTAGTAGTAATTATACTATGCGATGCGATCAAGGAATACATAAAAAGGGTAACTACGACAATGCATAAATGTTGAGTCGCTGTCAAGTTCATCTACAATCATTACAATTATTACGTCAAACAAGCTACCAAATAAAATATCTGAGAAACTAAATATTAAAAGATCTAAAGGTCTTTTATATAACGTCGATATTTATTCTCGACAGTGACGAATCTGTATATAAAATCGATACAGTCAATCTGAATATTTAAAAATGTTTTATGTGCAAAAAGTGACAATTTTTTGCGTTTCGATATCAATCCTCGCATACACGTTCACATACAAAACAATTTTAATCGTTTCGTGCTTGCCATTTTTTTAAAGAAATAATTATATTATTTAATTTATATCTTACACACACACACACACACACACACACACACACTAAAGGATATTAGAATCGTTTATTATGAATCTGTCATTCAAATTTCAGAATTTAAAATGACGGATCCAAAATTAAAAATTTTTTATTGTATAGCGGTAATTATTATTGCTGAGGATGGCTCAAAATTGTTAGCCAAAACGTCCAAATTATTGTAATTATAGATTTTATAAATATCAGATAATATTACGCAATAAATATCTAGCGGTGACTCCTAATGCCCATGGTTGTATATACATTTAGTTTAATATTTTGAGGAGTCCATTGATTGTATTTTTCTTTAAGTCTTTTGAATGATCTGTCTTATCGGGTGTTAAAAAATTCCATGAATGTTATTGAGAGATTCGATCTTTTTTATTGATATCTTGTCAACTAAACATCTGACAAGTGACTCGAAGAACTTCTGGAAAATGAGTGTCACTCAAAGCCAACAGAACTTAGCATTTTAATCTGCCGTACCAAATTTGGGAATTTTTACATATTGGATCCGCCATTTTAATTTTGGAATGCCATTTAATTTTAAAATAACTGATGACAAATCTGCATTTCAATGTAAACGTGCGATTTAACATGTAAGTATTTAAAAAACGAATACTTATTTTTATTTATATTTTGACATATTCAAAGTTTATTAATTGGAGGGGATCAGTTGGTTGCGTTTCATTGTTAGTTACTAAAACAGTGTAAGCATTCTTTAAATACGTTTTTATACAATCGTTTTGTACAAACGTCAGAAGTTGATTATAATACGAATTATATAATGCGCACTTTTATATTACATATATGATATAATAATGTACATAGTTCATGAATATTTTACAATATTGCTTATAATTTTGTTTTCAATTTTTCCAGTAAACGAAAACAGCCAATTGACTCGGGAAGAGAGAGCCTGTGGTTTACTACAGTGCTTTCACTGAATGAACGGTGAGAGATGGTAAAACAAGATTGTAAAATGCAGTATGTCGGCTGGATAGAAAATCATAATATTTCCTATACATAAATATATATACATATATTATATGCAATGACAATATAGTAAATATAAAATTTCTGAGATATCGGGATTTAAACAAAGTAAAACGCCATTTCTGTAGATTCACAATAAATCTTACTTATAAATCATATTGCTGATGTCAAATAAATTAAATTAAAGGGTTTCGATAATTTATTTTTATATACCCAACCACCCACGCACATAGAACAACATATATGGGTATCACAGTATTCACTGTGACACCCATATGGACACGAGATTGTTCTCCGTATTAAATGAAGCAACATTTTTCTCTGGTAAAGTTGCATCTAAACATGACTTTTTAAGTATAAGAATAACTTTAAATTAATCAATAAAATTATATATGGATCAGAGCCTAGTCAACAAAAAACGACTGTAAACGTTTTAATTAAATTTATTTATGAATCAACTCGTAAAATTATTATATAATGGTAAAATGTCTCAATAATTTAAAAACGAGCTGAAAGAAAAGGACTATGAGCCAGAAATATTACGTATAGACAAATTAGTAGATAAGTAAAAATGTCTTAATTAATTATTATGAACTTTAATAACATGCCGGCTAACAGATGTTTCGATCACTATCGGATCATTATCAATGTTTACAGAATTAGTCAAAACGATAAAAAACATAACATAAGACGAAGATTCTTTTTAATTATTGATATCAACGGTTGGATGGTTTGACATTGCGAAGTATATTTTTATTTTTCATCGACTGACCACATGCTAAGTTATTACCAATAATAAAATTTTTTTATATTTTTATTCGGACCGACAAGAATTAAGCACTGAGTATAAGCGTATTCAGACCTATGACGGTAAAAGCTAGATCTTTTTTGCCTAAATAATTCTCAGTGAATTATCTATATCCTATATATGTACATGCACATATATCATATTTTCGGCGCGCAGTTTGAATAACTACAAAAATAGCTGGAAATCTCGTAAACGTAAGCAATTCACATCACTGATTATATAATAACAGTTAATGGTGAAAATTATTTTGTATATGCAACATCATATAAAATTGTTCCGAAACAAGAAAGATTGGAACAAATTGATGGAAAGGGTGACGTTTTAAAGATGGCAAATAGTTAGCTATGAAAGTAATTATCGTATATTAAAGGCCTTTTAAAAAGGTCTGAAAATAACTATAAAAGAATAAAAAGGTATCTATATAAGTATAAAAGAAGAAAGGTAACTCTCACTTTCTCATAAAAAATTTCACAATTTTCAATTTTTTTATTTAAAAATTAAGATTTTCGAATATTCTATTTAAAATCTATATCAAAATACGAAAAGAGAATAAAATCTTAGAAAATATCTACAAACATTGTGAAATTAAACAATTTTATTAAGTATTCTATTTCTATTTTTTTACATTCTATAAAAATAAAATAAAGATGAAACGATGTGTAAACAAAAAATTTATCAAAAACAATATTTCTGAAATATGCCTACAATAAATGTCAACAATAAAAAATGTAATTAATTTAAATTAATTTCTCCAGTACGGCACTTTATCATTGTATTGAAATTTTATAAAACATGCTAATGTAAATTTACTCTGGAAAAAAAAAATTGGCCATATGATGATACACGCACACGTTATTCGTAACTCCAGTTAGATTTTATTATCTAGCAATCAATTCCAAAATTGACCACAATGCGAGAAAAGTTTCACTTTCGCAGTTTGGAAACTAATGGTTCCAGAATATTAATGATGTGAGAGGACAGTTGTGATGAAATTACAGGGCTAGACAACCTCGCAGTCAAATTCGAGATAAGAATTCCTTTATTCTCTCAACACCGAAAATGTATACGACTTGCTACCGCGAGGACTCACAGCCGAATGCCTCTCCTTTTCTGGTACAATCTTCGCTTGGTCTCCTCGATCTTTTCTAGATTTTTCTAAATAACATTTATTGTTTACGCAGCGGGTCGTCCTTATTTATTAACCGTTTGTGATTCTTACGTTTTCAAACTGATGGAATATACTCGCTTACATCGCCGAAATTAGAACTTACAATTAATTCGCGGATTCGCAAAGTATATTCCCTTTCAATGCGCGTCAAACTATGCAGAAAAAAATGTACACGAAATATCGCCCGAAGTCCATAGACAGCGTCGGTTTAAATGTCTGCGGCCTTCGGAAAAATCAGCTGTATTTACGTTCTCGCTATATACATCGCATACAAGTATATTGCAAGCTCCTGATGTGAATTCACTTTCCGCAAACGCGAATGTGCGGCGATGCGACTGGACGCCACAGCAGAAACCATTTATCTTGAAGTATATCCGACAATATGCCAGATCAAGTTAAAGAGTTTGTACAATTATTGTAAGCGCGCGAGGCATGCGTGCTGTAACAAAACAGCATATTACCGAGCAGTAATTATAATTATCATTATTACTTTTACCACCTGTCGTAATTTGCTACTATTATTTTTATCGTTTATTATTTCATGAAAATCCCCTATTCTTCTTTATTCGTTATCTATAGCTGCGGTCAATTCAGGCTTACAACGCTTATGTCGTGAGCATCAATCTCTGTTTAATATTTGACAAACAAAGATGGAATAATTTTTAAGCGTTGTGAACGTAAATCGGCTTATCAATGAATGTGCAATACAATCCCATATTTCAAAATTATGTTGTTTAATAAGAGTATTTCTTAAACAAATTATTATTTACATTAATCACATTAATAATACTTTAAAATATCACTTTTGCAGATACAACTGGTAGTATAAGCATCATTTTTTATGTATATAATGTATTCTCAAAACTTAGATTGCAGAGTTGCAATTATTAATCACAATTGTAATAATATTCTTTACATAAAATAATATTTATTAAATAACAATGTATTAAACAACAATATATTAAAGTTAAAGATAATGTAACATTTTGTTTTCTTTATATATTTATATTTATTTATATGTGCTGATTAAAACTTGTATTCTATCTAGTGTTTTTTTATGTATTTACTTATAGTACATTATTAATTATTTCGATTAAATAACAGTTTTATATAAAAGTGTGTTTATGTAACAGTTTTTGTGATGCTGTGTTTTTTCTGAATGTAATCTACGCGACACACTGATATATGTATATACCTAATTTCCACTTATACGTGCGTGTACTATGAAGCAAACATATTGTAATTGCACAGTATTTCTATGCATCAAATCTTATGCAAATCTGATATATCGGCCAATTATATTAATCACGCTTCAGCAAATTTCCGAGCATGTATATCTCTATACAAAACATTCTCTCTTGCATATTGATGATGTAATATTATATACAATACTACAGACAATATAAATATGAGCCATAGAAATACAATATATTCAGTTGTCGGATTAACTTTGTGCAAGTTGTTCATTTCTAAAACGTAGAAAAATGAAGAGATCACTTACGTTTTTAATTTTAGCGCTAATTGCTACCGTAAGTTCATTTTATTTTCATACACGTATAATATACACATGGTTCTTTTTTTTAACTTATTTCAATGAAAATTTAAATAGAACATTTCGTATACAAATGGATTATTGCAGAATTTACAATAAACAATAAAGTTGTATTATTTACTTCTTTAATTTTAAATATCGTAAATTTTATAAGCAAGTTTTAAATTAGGATTATATTGTACAGCTTACTGCCTAGGGATTTTTAAAAGAAACTAATTTTTTAATGCAATTTTATTAATTCATACGATCAGTCGACATGTAAATAAGTTAAAAGAAATGTTATTAAATTTAGCAGTGCATTTCAGAGATATTAACGAAATGTGTTATTTTTTACTATTTTTAATAAATCTCGAAAAGAATGCAAAATACGAAAAAATATCAACGCGGATTTTTTGTAGGAAATTAAAGGACCCCGCACTAATCTTATGAGAAAATGTCTTTCTGTGGATTTGGCTAATTTTGTGATATGTTGTAGTTCTCTTTATTCTGTCTCATTATGCACAACTTGATCCTATGAGTTGTTTCCGCGCTACATGCCTTGAAAGGTCTAAATTTTACATGATTACTGGACCTTTCAAGGCTTGTAACGCGGAAACGGCTTATAGGATCAAGTTATGCCCATTGAGACATTTGAAGAGAATTACAACATATGGAAAAATTAACCAAATCCGCAGAAAGACATTTTTCCATAAGATTGGTACGGGGTTCTTTTCTATCGACTAGATATATGAAAACATTTTTTTGATATATCATAAACCCTGAATATAGAAAAAAAAGCGAAGTTTATAAATTACTAAAGTATTTAAAATACAAAATAAAAGCAATAATATATTGAGTAAAATCGACCAATAAGATTAAACACACGTAAGTGAAAAAGGTCTAATTCTATCAAGGTCTAATTCTCGTGTCTAATATATTTCTTTTTTTGAATTTAAACAATTTCCAGTTAAAATTAACTGTGCATTGATTATTTGTTGGTACTAAAACGCAGCCCTAAACCGAAGCCGGAATAGTAGTATCACAATAATTTTAATAACTTAAATATTCATCTTAGAAGACTCATAATACAAATCTGTAAATAATTTAATAGCAATTAAATTACTTAAATTAATTAAAATACATATACAAAATATATATGAATACTGTCAATCTTAATATTTAAAATATAATAGAATATAAAATACCTTTGTGTACTTCGCTGAAATATAAAATATAAAATACAAATTATATTTATATTTCAAATACAACAACAGAATTAGAATGTATTATGCACTAATTCTCTTTTATAAAGTGGTATAAATAATTTATATCTTTTATGTCATATAATTACTTCAAGTATAATTGTGATCATCATATTTTATGATTGTCATATTAATAAAGTACAAGGTAATATGGTTGTATTTTAGGTAATTGCAGATGATAATAATCAAATCCTGGAAAAGATTGCAAAAGTATACCAGACCGATGTATCGACATTCCAGGAATGCCTGGACGAAGAAGAAATCAAAATAGGTAAATTATCTAGAAATAATAAATTTACAAATAAATATAGTCTTTTTAATATCTTCTTCTTCTTATTATTATTAGGACTCGGAATTTAGAATATTTTTAATTTAATGTAGAAGTTTTTAAAAATTTATAAAAATTTTTTAGAAATTAAAAACTCCTAATTTTAAATTTATAGTTTGAAATTTAAAACTTAGGAATAAAAAATTACTTTAAAAATATTATGCAATTTCTAAATCTTTGCGAAACAAAATTTAGAAGAAGGCATTAATAATGCACAATAAAATTGCGTATGTATATATTTTAATAAAATCTCTTTTATATTTAAAATGTGTATCCTAGGATTATATGTAATTAAAAAACAATTTACAATGTTCTTAGAGGAAGTAATTACTTGGTTCCAAAATTGGCATAATAGAAGTAGCGTCGAGCAGAAGGATTCCAATGAAGAATCAAGACCATGTCGAATGAAATACAAAAAATTAGTGACTTGTATATTACAAAAGAAACAATTGGTAATAATTTGTAATAATTATTATATTAATAAATTATTAGACATAAAGAATTTCGATAAAAAATATAGTGTGAAATTGAAGCAATTATAAAATAACTATTTTTCCAATCATGTTTTGTTAAGATACGTAATAAATGCGTGAAAAATAGTCTATTTTTGTAACATAAATTTCTTATAAAAGTTAATTGAAATTTTAATACTTAAATTTTTTATTATGCACAAATTTTTTGTTGAATGTTTCAAAAAAGACTCAGAACGTATTAGAGACGCAATCAAATATATGAAATAATTAATAAAATAATAAATCTATTTAACAATGCATAATAAAACATATTCACAAAAACAATAAATAATAATAAATGTATTTTCAACTCATACAGCACAGACTTCCATGGGACAGACGTTCTAAAAACATCTAAAGGATGTCTTTCTACGTTCTAAAATATTTCTAAAACGTTCCTCGGATAAAATGTGCCGTGTAGAAATAGCATGTTAACGATAAATAATTACACGGGCTTAAAATATAACATATAATATACCAGATGTTCCAGAATGACCGCCAAATATTTTGTGTGCTGGTATAGAGTGGACTAAACTGAGCCGAAAAGCCTCTACCATTTTCCAATATTCGCAATAATTAGCAAGATGTTAATTATTATAACTTGTCGAATATTGGTTTTCAATAATTTTTTACTCAAATATTATCAATTTTACAGAAAAACAGCAAGAGACAAAAATTGTTTATTTTCTTCTCACAAAATTCTGAGAATTTTTTCAGAATTTGTTAGTATCGCATTTTCTCATGTTAGTCGAAATAGTTGCCAATATATAAGAAAATGCAGCACTTACTGCAAAGTTGAGAAAAAATTCTTAGAGTTCTCTATGAGAAGAAAACAAGCAATTTTTATTTCTTATTGTTTTTCTATAAAATTGATAGTACTTGAGTAAAAAAAAATTATTGAAAACTATTATTCGGCGATTTTTAATAGGTTGCGAAAATTGTAAAATGGTACAGGACTTTTCAACTCAGTTTAGTCCGTTCAATCAGTCTACGAAATATTTGGCGATTCTGGGATACTCTGTATATTATCATAAACTTAATAAATATTAATTAAAATGACAGTCAATAATTAATCTTTTAGATAGACAACCCGTAAGGGCAGGTGATGTATTGTGTTCTTTTTTCTTATTTCAGCTGGTAGATGGGAAGTTAGTTATAGACAAAATAATTGAAAGAGCAAAAGAAGACATTAATAAGAATGGTTTGCCAGAGATTTCAGAGGAAGCTCTTACGAATATAAAGGAATGTTTAAATTCATGTAAGTAAACTCAAAATAACGTTCAAAATGTTCTCTCTCTACTTCTTTCACAATTTTATTATAATTAACAATAGAACAAGGTTAATAAGAGTATGATACAGTAAACAGAGTGCAATTAATATAATCTTCACGTTGTAAAATTAATTGCGCTCTATTTACTGCGTCGCACTCTCATTAGTCTTATTCTGCTGTTGATAATTTTGAGAGTTGTAGGACCTTTTCTTCCTTTGTGTGAATTAGTAGTAATTATACTATGCGATGCGATCAAGGAATACATAAAAAGGGTAACTATCGACAATGCATAAATGTTGAGTCGCTGTCAAGTTCATCTACAATTATTACAATTATTACGTCAAACAAGCTTTCAAATAAAATATCTGAGAAACTAAATAAATATTTAAAAATCTATATATATATATATAAAAGTCTTTTATATAATGTCAGTATATATTCTCGACTGTGACGAGTCTGAATAAAATTGATGCAGTCAATCTGAAAATCTAAAAATGTTTTATGTGTAGAAAATGACGACTTTTTGCGTTTCTATATCAATCCTCGCATGTACGTTCACATACAAAACAATTTTAATCGTTTCGTGGTTGACATTTTTCTAAGGAATAATTAGCATTTAATTTATGTCTTATTAAAGGATATTAGAAAATCGTTCATTATGAACCTTTAGTCAAATTTCAGAATTCAAAATGGCGGATAAAATAATTTTTTTTTTGAACGATCTGTCTTATCACGTGCTTCAAAAAAATTCCATGAATACTATTGATTCGATCATTTTTATTTACATCTTATCAACTACACATCTAACAAGTGACTTAAAGAGTTCCTGGAAAATAAGTTTCAAAGCCAACAGAACTTAGCGTTGTAATCTGCCGTATCAAATTTGGGAATTTTTACATATTCCCTCATTTTTAATTTAGAAATGCCATTTAATTTTGAAATAACTGATGACAAATCTGCATTTCAATGTGAACGTGCGACTCAACATATATTTAAAAAATGAATATTTATTTTTGTTTATATTTTAATATATTCAAAGTTTATTAATTGGAGGGGATTAGTTGGTTGCGTTTCATTGTTAGTTACTAAAACAGTGTAGGCATTTTTTAAATACGTTTTTGTACGAACGTTTTGTCAGAAGTTGATATTCCAATACGAATTTGCGTACATAATGCGCACTTTTATACTACATGTATGATAATAATGTACATAGTTTATGAATATTTTACAATATTGCTTAGAATTTTGTCTTCTTTTTTTCCAGTAAATGAAAACGACCAATTGACTAAGGAAGATCGAGCCGTAGGTGCAACGCCATGTATAATAACTAACTACTTTAAAGGCGAGAAACAGTAAAACAAGATTGTAAAATGCAGTATATCGGCTGGATAGAAAATCATAATATTTCCTATACATATATATACATATATTATATGCAGTGACAGTATAATAAATATAACATTTCTGAGATATCGGGATTTAAGTAAAGCAAAACGCGCCATTTCTGTAGGTTCACAATAAATCTGTTACTTATAAATTATATTGTTAATGTCAAATAAAGCAAATTAAATGAAGGGGTTTCGATAATTTATTTTTATATACCCAACCACCTACGCACATAGAACAAGATATACGGGTATAACAGTATTCGTCGACACGGGATTGTTCTCCGTATTAAATGAAGCAACATTTTGCTCTGGTAAAATTGCGTCTAAACATGACCTTTTAAGTAAGAACAACTTTAAGTTAATTAATTAAATTACACATGGATCAGAACTAAGTCAACAAATAACAATTGTAAAAATGTTTTTAAAAAACTTTGAAAAAATTCAAAAAATATCTAAAAAAAATTTTTTTAAGTAATAAGTCAACTCTTTTTCGTTAAAAAATACGTTTATTTAAACGTTTGAAGGAGCATTTTATTAATGCTTAAAAAATGTTTATTTTAAAGTTTAAGGAACCGTTTTAACGTTAGCAAAACATTTTTTTAAACAACAAACAATGTTTTTAATCCTCACTGTGTTAAATTTTTTTTAATGAATTAAATGGTTCATAAAATATTAAAAAATTTATGCTTTCTTAATTATTTTAAATCAAGGATTCATAATTTAACAAAACTATTTGTTTAAATGTTTTATTTTTACAAGTATATAAATACAAATTCGATTATATTAGTGATACGTTCAAAAACTTGTAACTTTTGAATAAATCAGTAAAATTTAATAATAAAAAATGGAAAATAAAATTTAAGGTTCACACACATTTTAATTAATTTATTTTATATTTAATTTAGTCATTTTAATAAAAAAATTTACCAAAACACACACAAGAAATTTTTTTAATATAAATGCTTAAGTTCGAGACATAGAATTTCATAATTTTGAAACTTATAAAAATAAGCTTTCGTGATAAAATGACATTTGACTCTAATAAATTCATTTTTATTGAAAATCTATAATATTTCATACATTTTCCTAAATAAAAATTAATAAAAGATAATATAACGGCTTAATGGCTCAGTCACATTAAATTTCATAGAATTGATAAATATATGTAATGTTCTAATTGTGTTGTATTTAAAGTAAATAGAAATATAACACATATTTTGTTAATTTTTAAAGCGAATTTTGTGTTTCAAAGTACTTTCGAAACTACAAATTTTTTGATAAATTTTTTTGTCATTATTTTAATTAAGATATCATCTAATAACTTGATTTTTTTGAAAGCCATGACTCGATGGTAGTGTGTAAAAACTATGTGTATTATTATAGTAATAATTGATAATTACAAACGTTTCGACCATAGTTTTGGTCATCTTTAGTGTAACAACGAATTGATGACAGATTTAAATATTAAGCATTACATTAAATTATTATAAACGATACGCTTTGTAGAACCGGAGATATGTCGTGATTATAAAGTCAGAAGTACTCGTCCGCCAGACAAAGTTTTCATCTACAAAAATTATCTTCTACAAAACGTCTCGTTTATATAGAAATTTAATGTAATATTTAATATTTAAATCTGCACTGAGAGAAAAGATTTTGTTATAGGAACAAATAAAGGGAAAGCAAATGTGATATTTGTTAAAAAAACAATCGATTTGTTACAATTGCAAATTAATTCGTCAATGTAACAAATAATCAATAGTATCGCTAGTAAATAAGAGGCTCATATATATATAAAAGTCGTAGACGGTTGCAGGATCTCAAATCGTAAGAAATTGATTAATCCTAGTTAAGTATTCTCCCTATATTTGACTGTGCTGGTCGGTTTCCTACAACTTAAGACTCCACGATCATCTACGAATTCTATGTAAACGAGCTAAAGTCTATCCAAAAGATAGGTTAGATTCTATATAGTTTGTTTCTGTTACTAATAATTAGTTGGTATAGCAGACTAGCAGCAATCACAACAACATAATTTGTTGTTACATATTTACCGATCACCGGTTAAAGGTACTGGTGGCTTGCTAAATTAACAAAATCCTTTCTCTCAGTGTGTTACCATTTCATTGTTACAATGAAGATGATCAAAATTGTGGTCTGTAATGATCAATTATTAATAGTACGCACAAGTTTTACACATTACCATCCACTGTTTGTTTACATTGGTTTACATTTTTTATTTATTTTGATTTATTTCTTTAAAGCCTTATTATTAGAGATATATATTGTTTAATTCCTTTGAGTTGTATATTATAATGACCACTTTAAATTCTGTAAAAATTTGGAATTTGAAGCTTACAGGATTAAAAAAGTTATATAGACTTTGTAATTTATAACACGTAACATATTAATTAAACGTTTTGTAAGAAACAATTATTACATTATTTATTAATCGCATACGACTAAACTCGTTGCTGAGCAGGTCCGGTCGCAATCAAGTGTATAGTTTGGCACAGACATCAGCAATCGATGAAATTTCTGGCACTGATAGGAAACAATTCGTTTTTGAATCATATGACGAGTACGCTGCCAATTCTGTTCGTTGTTAGTGCAGGAAATCCTGTCCTCGAGGATACAAATATCAGCGTTGCAGCCATCAAAATATATTTTTCCCGGTACGCAATTTCTTGGCGCTACAATTGTTAAATAATAAAAATAAAACTATGAATTTTCCTCTAATTATATATGTACATAGGGAGAGCGGGGCTCTTCCGTCAGTTTCAACTTGATAAAATAATATGAAAATTTGCAGTAAACAACATCCTTTTGTAATGATGTTGTATTTTAAATACATTACATGATTGCTTCCTGATATGACAAGCATAAAGTTCTTGAAATGTTCAATATATGCTGTTCAGAAACATAAATCGCGAGAAATAGACGAAAAAGCCTCGCTTTATCTCATTTCACTCGAGCTTAAAGACATATGTATCGCATCTTAAAGTATTATCGAAAAGTATAAAATTTTTATAGTTTTATTATTATGTTTGTGTATCTGTGTAAAATTAGAGCTCAATTCTTCCATTAATGTAACTCTTCTATTAATTTAAAATTTTTCACTTTTTTGCTATAGTGTTTTACAAGGTTTCTGTTAAAAATGTAAAAAAAGAAGAGAGATAAAGGCTGTACAAAATAGCCTTTTTTTTTAATTGATCAATATGATTTGAAGTATTATAATGGAATTCGGACAAAAATATAAACATTTTTACAGATTTAATTTGAAATGAGTATCTGAGTACTCATAAATTGACGCGACACCCTGACGGAAAAACTTTTACAAAAAACTACATAAATTGAGACAAGTTGTTAGAATTTATTAGTTTCTCATAGATATTCGTAGAGCGGTGTTGTTTGTTGAAAAAATCTAGAAATCCTCCATCCTCAAATAACGCCACTCTACGTCCCACGAATATTTACGAAAAATTACAAATTTCTAAGATCTTATCTCAATCTATGTAGTTTTACTGTACTTTTTCGTAAAAATTTTTTTCCCGCCAAGGGAGGGTTAAATGTTATTTGATTTTTTGTTTGCATTGTGTTTTTAATGCAATCGCGTTTTGTAACTTATTTCAAAATTAAATGAGAAAGTAGCATTATAAGTAGCATTATAAGTAGCATTTACAAACTAAATAACATGTACTAAATATAATGAAACTTTAATAAATATTTGTTTATTTTAATCCATTTATTCGGTTAAAAAAGTGTAATAATATACAAAGTGTACCAAACTTTTTGATACAACGTACTTAAGTTGAGTAAACTAAATTGAGTCCCGACTCATTCTGCATTTTTTGCAATAGTTAACTTCTCCGAATGAGATCTTTAGAGACTAATATCTCTAAAAATTGTAAAATAGTACAGGACTCTTCAAATCAGTTTAGTCTGCTCTACTTGCATACAAGCGCTGTGTGAAAAGTTTGGGATACCCTGTATAATATAGAATGTAAATGGAGAGATAATGAAATAGGAAGATTGAGAAAAACGTAGGGTCAGAGAGAGGCACGAAAGAAAAAGGTTCGAGGAAAAATGTAGGCACTTAGTCGAATCTTACCTACATTATTCAAATCAGACATATTGTTTTTGGACGAAGACAATGTAGTTGACTTACTACCGAAAAATGCCAAAATCTTAGAGATAATCTTGGAGATAATCTTGAAGATAATCCTTATGGGATATGTTATCCAGTCAATCAAATCTGTCGAAAATAAATTGTATCAAACACTATAATTCTTGTCGATAAAAAGGCACCTTTGATGCAAATTCTGTTACATTTAACATGGTCAATAAATTAGAACGAGGACAATAAAATCTGTTGACGTAACATAAAAATAAATTATCGGCAAAACTATACTAAACTTGCTGTCCAAACTGATGGTAAGAACCGATCAAAAACAAAACAGAGTTTTGTTCGGTTTTTGCTGTCAATTTGCTGTCTAGTTACTAGCAACAAGCGTTGCTGACACAGATGATATCGAATTCTGAGCGAGTTTAGTGCCAACTTGGTGACAATTTGTTTATCAATTTGTTTACAAGTAAAGTCATTCTCTGAGAGAGAGGCCTGAGAGAGAAGATCGAGATAAATCTCGTATTATAATATCGAATTAGTGACAAAAACATATGCTAATGATGAATTAAAATGATTATGAATTTATAAATTTTGATTTTTGGCTAAAATGGACTTGGCAGCTCTAAATTAGATAAGTAATTATTTCATTTTTGGATTATTGAGATTATTGTTTATTAAATCAAAGTTTATATATTTTTGGACGCAGCTTAAGAATGTAAAGAAATTATGACTAGTGTGAGCTGGTAAATTTAATTAATTGTTTTAATTAAATTTGTTTATAAATCAATCATTGTAAAAATTATGTTTTCTATTATTTTTATATCTGATACATTACAAAAGTTATTTATTTAAAATTGCAGAAAAAACGTGGTCTTTATATATAAGCTATGTAGTCAAATTAATTATTAGTCATTTTGTTCTTTGAAGTATATACAAAACGTATTCACGAATAAAATTTGTTTGTCATTAAATTAAAAAAATACTTAAAGAATCTGCTGTTTTTTAATTTCAATAATTTTTATAGTATAGCTTTATTAACATC